GGGAGGCTGTTTATTGGGGTGAGGAGCCTCCGAGCTGTGCTGCAGGGGTTCGGGTGCCCAGAATTCCCCTGGATTCACAGCTGCTAGGCTAAGTGTCCCAGGGTGCTTCTGTCCAGCTGTGGGGTCCCTGTCCCTTCAAGACTTTCAGAAAGCACTCTCTTTTCTTTGTCCCCGGGGTGCCGGCTTCGGGACCTACTCACAGGTCTTACTGTCCTGCTTCCCTGGTATCCAGCACCCCACACACGCACTGTGTGTCTGCGCTCCAGTGCGGATGGCTGGGGCTGGGTGTTCAGCAGTCCTGGGCTCCTCTCCCTCCCCGCTCCGACTCCTCTCCTCCCACTGGGAGCTGGGGTGAGGGGTGCTCGGGTCCCGCCAGGCCGCGGCTTGTATCTTACCCCCTTTGCGAGGCGCTGGGTTCTCATGGGTGTGGATGTAGTCTGGCTGTTGCCCTGTGTCTTCTGGTCTCTCTTTTAGGATTAGTTGTATTTGTTGTATTTTCAAAAATATATATGGTTTTGGGAGGAGATTTCCACTGTTCTACTCATGCCTCCATCTTGGTTCCTTTTTTTTTTCTCACTTATATTTTATACGTGGTGATAAGCACTGGATTTGGAGATAAAGGAGCTGTGCTCAATTTCTATTTGTCTCACATTAGCTGTGTAGTTTTGGGCAAGTCAGATTTTTGGGGTGGGTCATCTGCTGTAAAATGGGATACTAATTCCTGTCTGAACCCCTCATAGGGTTGTGAGGATCAAATGAGCTTGTGTCTTGTGAAAGAATTTAGCCTACTCTAAAGCACTATACAAGGGGTTTAAACATCATCTCCTCATGTGCTTTCCCCTTACATTTTATGTTTTCATCTCTCTACAAAAATACTTGTTTGGGAACAGGGATCACTTAGCTCTCCTGCTGTAGAATTCCATCTTACCCCCTAAAGGCACAGCACAGTACACACAGCTCGCTGATGGACTTCAGTAAGAGGCAGAAAGACTCTAACCCCCATCACCTCCCCACCATCCCAGGCCCTGGCCATACCTGATGGGGTCAAAAGTGAGCACTAGACCCTACCTGGGACAACCGCACTCCCTTCCCAGATAACAAAAGTAAGACTCCATGAAACTGAGTCAGCTGACAACCATATAGAAGAGAAATGGGCGACTTTTTTACACTTTTCTACACTTTATGGGAAATATGCTACTTCCATAGCTGTATCATCCCTATGGTGGAGCCTAGACTGAAGATCATGAACTTCTACCACTCAAAACATGGATCTGCCAGATTCCCACATTTTGTGAAGTCTGGCAGTCAGCTTTTCCTTGGCTTCTGTGATAACCTGAGCCTTAAAATATCTTCTGACTTGAGCTGGCTTGGGTCACATAGAGGTTGAATAGTGTCCCCCAAATTACATGTCCACCCAGAATGCCAAACATGACCTTATTTGGAAATAGGGTTTTTGCAAAATTAAAATTAGGTCATACTGAATGAGGGTGGGCCCTAAATCTAATGACTGTTGTCCTCGAAAGAAGAGAAGAGGACACAGAGAGAAACCAAGGAGAAGACAGCCTTGTGAAGATGGAGGCAGAAATTGGAGTTGCGCATAGTAATATCTCA